TTAAAACATAAATGACCTCATAAACCCAACATGATAAAAGTTTGAACTCTTAAAATAGTTGAACAATTGCCCACGTCTTCTGTCCAACTACCTCTAAAAATACCAACAAAACTAGGTCAACTATTAGTTGCGCCATCAATATTCATTTAAAGCTAGCATATGAAACTTGTCATATTGTGTCATTGAGTGAAACCTTTATACCCTTCCTACTTTGAATATTGAAAATTTCCAGTATAAAATATCAGAGATAATGTTACTCGTATGCTTCTTAGATTTATTCAAAGCCATACACATAAACTTCTTAATTTAGAAAACAACAGAAGTAAAAGCAACTAAAACTTGAAATTTACTATAGTTTTTCATCCTCCAAATCATTTAGATAATTACAATTGTGACAACCACTTTAATCACTCTAAGCAAAGGACTATGAGAATACTTCATAAACTCAACAATCAAATCCAAAAAGAAAAACTACAAATCTTTAAAAATTTCATTCAATCGTTTCCATGATTGCATAGTACTAGAACAATGAAAGAAGAAATGAAATAAAAAAATCAACATTGTTCTTATACAAAGAACACACAAAGCATAAAATCACACTCCTTGTTTTAAGCTTTAAATCAACATGTAAATGACCATACAACAATTTCAAAAGAACCAAAAGTATTAAGTGGTTAAACAACATTTATCCAAATCAAATTCTCTTAACCCACACATTACATACTAAAAGAATATAAGTTTTTACCAACGTTTTGAGAAACGAGACCTCCGATATTATCAATAATCCAATTAGACACATCCTTATCTCACTTACCATTAAAGAAGAAAATCATATAAATTGACAACAAAAGGAGAAAAGTTTCACTGAGTACTTGTCCAAGTTGAACTAATGAGTATAACATTATTCTATCAAAATAAGAAACTTAAGTCAATTTGGATATGCAGATGCCAAAACACCAACAATTACTCCAAATATTAATATAATCACCCTTACTTAGTGTCCAAAAAGTATTTTCATTAACAATATCATATGTGTTAAGACAAACTCGTCTAGAGAACAGACCGTCTAAGGTAACCCATGCTTTGAAGTTTAACAAAAAGCATTAAACAAAATATTGCTGCTTAAGAAAATTTGTCTAAAGTAAAGATGTTTAAAATAGTTGCATTTGATTAAAAAACATCTTATAATGTCTGAAGTTGAAGTAATACTTTCCAGACCAAATTGTTTAAATGAATTACAAAATCATAAACAATGTTTAGGAGAAAGCATCTCTAATTGAAATATCTCAATAGACCATGTGAGTAAAATAAGCTAGGTTTTTTAGAAAACAAAAGTCTATTTCTTATAAGAAGGTTAAAAAAATGTTTATTCAATATAGTGTTGTATCAAGCAAAAGTTTCCATATAAAACATCGTCTGATGAATGACATATGAAAACACTGTAGTCTTTGAAAGTATTTCATGATAATATCATTTGATGAATACATATGTTGGGTTATTGGACTCCCTTCCTATGTGGAGAATAAGCCCAAATAATGTGGACCTTTATGTATCACTAGGTTAAATAAAGATGGGTCAGATTAGTAGGGCACATTAGAGTCATTGAAGAGAGGCAAAAGCCAAGTGAGAGAAAAAAGGAAGAGGGAAAGTTATTCCCACATAACCGTAAACCTGCATTGGTGTTTTTGTCGTTGTGAAGTCGTTCACCGTTGGATCGAGCTGATTTTTGGACAGTAGGTTCCAGACATATGGTTCTTCATTCTGAACATTCGGATTGTCAATTGAAAATCTAGATTGGGAGAAATCGGTCCCGCACTAGCAACCCTATTTTGGAGAATTTTCATCTTCTTTGTTCTCATTTGTAAGCATTTGTGATTATTTAAATTGGCTTATTGAACACACCATTTGGTGTTATTATTGGAGACTCTTTTGTAAACTATTATTGATCATAGTAAATTTTTATTTAATATGGACGACTCGTGGTTTTTACCCTTGCATTGAGGGGTTTTCCACGTTAAAAATTGTTTATGTCTCTCTGTGCTTTGGATTATATTTTTGTTCTATTTGTTTGGTGCTCATCGCAGATTCTCGCAAGAAGAGGGATTGAATTTCCGCTGCGTTATTACTTTTTTTCTAAGTTGTTATATTTTTTGGCCCTTCCCCCATCAACATATGTGATTTATCTTACCAAACGATGCATTTATTAATGAAATGACAAATGATTTAATGTTCTGAACACACTACATTGCTTAACGCTTGTCAACGTTCAAAACATTTAATGCATGTATGAAAAAGTACTTTGATGCTTGCAAACTTTGTTCTTGATATCCATGTAGATCAATAAAGTATAAAAATATGATCAAAATCACGACACCCACGAAAAAGACGTTGCAAGAAAAGAAGAACATTTTGGCAATGTTTCCTTGAAGCTATTTGCTTTGTCACATCGTACAAGCTCAAGTTCCACTTAAGGCTATAAGAAAAAACTCTAGACCCTACAAAGTAGATTAAAGTCGGACTTCACATAGAAAAACTACCAACTCTTCAGAAGTTTACTTCTTGATTTAATGGTCATCTTTCAAGAGAAACTATATATAGAAGAAAGCTTGAAGAGAATACGTTGTTGATGAAAAAGTGCAAGAAAAATAACAACATAAAAAGAGAGAAAAAGCTTAAAGTGTTTTTATATAATCTAACGCTCAATATCTTTTGACAGTAAAATATTTATAAAGTGAGAAATACTTTCAAATGTTATAAATTGTAATGTATTTGAAGATATATCCTCTCGTTGAGAGTTATTCGTCTGCACCTTCTGGAAAATCTATTTGTGGATTTGTTGTACATCATGAAAAGAACTCAAATAATTGGTTGTTTAGCTAAGGTTGAGTTGAACGTCTATACAATTGTCTAGAGCTAGATCCTAGAGAGGCTAAACTCATTCTAGTCGTGTTAACTAATGGATCAGGAATTATACTAATACTCATTGTAACCAGGAGTAGTGAGAATATTCTATGAGATCCTAAAGAGACAAAACTTGTGTAATCTTGAAAAAGATTAGTAGAACCCCTTAAGAGTTTTTAAGAAAAAATCAAATGTAACTCAGATTGAGTAAACCAATAAAAAATTGTGATTTACTATCCTTTTATTCAAAATGTTTTTCATTTATTCACCTTATAGAAACTAGTTCTAAGCATTCAAAAAACCTTTACACACCATATTTACAGAGATATTACATACAATATTTTTAAGAAACAAATATATTAGGAATCTTATCACCAAAGGTTAAAAAAAATCGTATCTTAGGAGTTTTGTAAAAATTGACATACCTAAGTAAGTAAAATGAAGAGATATTTGATTAAAAAAAAAGTTTATTGAGACATCTTATAAAATAAGAAAACGAGAATATGCTCCCTGGTTAATCAAAGAAAGTACCATACTAAAAAAAATGTTAAATGTTTTAAAATTCTAATATATCCTCTATATTAAACAAATATATTATCTACATATATAGAATATGATAATGAAATTACACGGCCAGCTTTTAAATAAGAACAAAAATACATACTCCAAACCTCCTCAATATTATTATTTTATTCAAAAATATTTTAATTAGTGTTACATGTATATAAAGAAATTGACCGTTTTAATTATTATTTCAATAGTATAATTAAGGTTTATTCATGTAAAAATGGTTGATTGGATATAACAAGTACTTGCAATTCATGAGTTTTTCTTATTTAGTCAAAATACCATCATTATCTTAATTTATATGCGTTGATTATGAAGACCTAGGTGATAAGTTGTTTTAAAGATGTGTAGATANACCAAAGGTTAAAAAAAATCGTATCTTAGGAGTTTTGTAAAAATTGACATACCTAAGTAAGTAAAATGAAGAGATATTTGATTAAAAAAAAAGTTTATTGAGACATCTTATAAAATAAGAAAACGAGAATATGCTCCCTGGTTAATCAAAGAAAGTACCATACTAAAAAAAATGTTAAATGTTTTAAAATTCTAATATATCCTCTATATTAAACAAATATATTATCTACATATATAGAATATGATAATGAAATTACACGGCCAGCTTTTAAATAAGAACAAAAATACATACTCCAAACCTCCTCAATATTATTATTTTATTCAAAAATATTTTAATTAGTGTTACATGTATATAAAGAAATTGACCGTTTTAATTATTATTTCAATAGTATAATTAAGGTTTATTCATGTAAAAATGGTTGATTGGATATAACAAGTACTTGCAATTCATGAGTTTTTCTTATTTAGTCAAAATACCATCATTATCTTAATTTATATGCGTTGATTATGAAGACCTAGGTGATAAGTTGTTTTAAAGATGTGTAGATATTTCAGGGTGCCATTACTTTCATTTAAGGGTGTATGTAAATCATGCATGAACTTGGTTTTTACGTCAAAGCAAATAATTTGTATTAGTGTTTTTATTTTCTATTTTTTTAAAGAAAATATAATTTTCTGTTAGATTATTTTAACCGCAATAAATGTTTATATTATTTTAATATTTTTAACTTCTTATAATTTGAATATATATTTTCTCATTTTAATGATTAATATTTTTCTTTTTAAATAAATAATTATTTAAGAAGTTATTTATTTTAAATTTAAATTAGCATCTATAATTAAAAATAATCAACTATGTACTTTAATATTTGGATTAAATGTGTTTATAATTTTAAATTTGAAGTAAAATTAAAATTTATCCTTTTAAAATTTGACTTTTTGATTTTAAATTTTATAAATAAATAAATAATTTTTTTAATCTAATCATATTAATTTTCTTTTACGTATTGATCTACATTTTAAATTATATTTTTTATTTCTAGACTTTTAAAACTAAATTATATTAAAATTTAAAAAATAAAAAAATTACAATCTCGCATCAAAATTAAAAAGATTAAAATCATATTTAATTGTTAATATCTATTTGTTGGTTTTATTCATCAATACCTATCTCTCTGTCAATATTTTGGTCAGAGATTTCCCGGTCGGGTCGAGGAAACTGGGTTGATCCGGTTTGTCATTACCCTAATGGGCTTCTCCCTCGTCCTTACGAAGTAAGGAACACTGCTTCCACTCTGTCGAAGAACCCTTCTTCTCGTCACTCTCAGACTCTCCTTCTATACCTCTTCATCTCTGTTGCAACGTTGGTGTTCAGTTTGTTTTGCTGATTATGATTTGTAAGTGTTCGAGTTTCTATACCATTGTTCAGTATTCAAGTTCAGTTAATTTGAACCGTGGCTTGTTGTAGGGAAAATTTAACCGGTTTTTAACCTCTCCTCTAATCTTGTTGCTACTGTAATATTCATGCATACCTTAACGCTTTGGTGTTTGAATGTAAGGTTGAAGAGCGATTGAAAACAAAGGGTTATTGAACAAAGTTGAAGCCTTTGTAACCTTCGCAAGATAAAAACCCTTATGACACTCGTCACTGAACCCCAATTAGAAAGCTGTGACCTTGATGACAGTACTTTTTTTTTGTCTTAAACATTTTTTATTTTGTTTGGATTCAGGGGACTCAGGGGTAGCTTGGAAGTGGCACAATATTCTTGAATTGGTAAAAGGTTCTTATCCTTTGAACCTTGGTGATAGCTAAGATTTTAATCTGACTCTCCCAGGTTGTCATTTTCCTCCTTTCCCTTTATCCCTCTCAATTCTCTTCCCCCTCTTCATCTTAATTCCTTTACCCTTTGCAATTTTCTGTCCGCGTTTTAACTGTGTACACGCTGTATTTTGATACAATCCAATTTGGGTGAGGAATTTGTGTATATCAGTATTTAGGGTTTGGAATTCGGTCTCTTTTTTAAAATTAAAAAAAAAGCGACTACTATTGGAAATTAAGGATTATATTTTGTTCTGTGCTTGTTGGGGTCATATGTAACATTAATTTTTCAGTGGTGTTTTAATTTGCTTGCATATTTTTTGTGTATGATTCTGATTTTATTTCTAAATTGAGCATTTCAGAGATTGAATAATATCTATTCACAGATTGTGGTTGGAAGGTTGCAATTTGATTTTTTGATAATTGCAATTCGTTTATAATTGCAATAAAGTTTGATTTATATGTTTAAAATACTTCTCATAAACCACAATCTCTTGGATAACACGAGAATTGACATTCTTGTGTTTAAAAAGCAAATTATCAGATTATTCAGATAACGTAAGGGATAAAATGAAGTTGAAACTATATTAAAACAGGGGAGGGAAGGAGAGAATAGTTAAACCAGTCAAGTTTAGGGAAAGGTTGGCAATGTGATCTCTATAGGTCATCCTATGTTGCTATAATTTTGTTATCGGATTTTTTTACCTTAGACAATCTTTAGCTAACTAAGTTTTTACAGATTTGTGCTGTAGGTAATAGTGAATTATTTTTGTAGTTTTCGTGAAATCTGTCTTTCCATGGAATCATAATGGTGTTTGGAATGTTCCTTTAATCTGAAAATTCCGTCAGACTGTAGAATTTCCTCAACTGATTTTAGGTTTTGAATTTATTCTGAGCACATCATTTTATTGTGGTCTGTCGCTATTAACATTGTTTCTGCTTTGTAGGAGTTGATAATGTTAGCATTGGCTTAGGATTATTTGAAATTGAGTTAACATATCTTTCCATATCCTTGTGTATTTGTGATTATAAGAATTTTTGTGATTTCATATGACTTGTACATATAGTAGGCTGACTGGTTTCATACCTTAGGCAGATGAATAAGTGCTATTGAATGAATATGTCCTATTAATATTAAGTCTGCAAGTTAAGAACAATGCTTTGAACCTTAGTTCGTAAGAAGTAGAAAATGTTAGGTACATATTCAGCACTAAGTCAGTTCCGTTTTTCTGACTTGATTTTATTTTCAATGTCTTTCCTCAGATTATATTAACTCCCAACTAATGTCAACCAAGAGAGCCTCATCAGTTACTGTTAGTTCTCTTTTGAAGTTGTGCAAACAATGTTCTTTACAACACATTGCAGACTGTATCAAAGGCCTGAATACATTGAGGGTTATGAGCACTGCTGTTGAAAGGACTGATTTTCAGTTTTGTGGTGGTCATCAAAATGATGATTCTTTAGGTTACCAGCAAAGTCATGTTGGGTTTTATCAGGAAAGCCGGAAGAAGGCTGATACTAATGAGTTTTTGAATAAGCAAAGACCTGATTATGTTGCCCAAGCAAATTCAAGTCAATCTTATTGGAATAATCATGCAAATTTGGAGCAAAATTCTTATGCAGCTCGTCAGATTGCAGATGGAGGCCATATAAATGTGCCCATAAACATTAAGAATAATTTGGTGGGACATAATGGAAATGCCAACGGATACTTTGGTCAAGACAAAATGAAAATGCAACAAAAAGTTGGGGTAGGAGTTGATAATGCACGGGCATCTGGGATGCATCCAAATGCATTCGCTGATAATCATGGTTGGACACAAGATCCTGGACAAAGGATGCAGTCTCTCAATCCATATACTTCACCTAGGCTTTTAGAATCACAGGGAAATCCTAGAGGGGGCTTGAACCAAAACAGTGATTGTTTTCAGCAGCCATCAACTGTTCAATACAAAGAGGGTAATGAGACGCCTCAACAGTACTCAGGTTCTGGACAGTTTCAGCAGAGTCTTAAAGATGGTCAATATTCTCCAAACTTTAATATTTCACAGAGATCAATGGTTGTTGGTTCTCATCTATCGAACAATGCAAATCCTGGTGGTGAATCAAATGAGGCATCTAATGATAGTCCATATAGAGGTACACTTGAGGAACTAGACAGTTTCTGCAATGAGGGTAAAGTGAAGGAAGCTGTTGAAGTTTTGGAATTACTGGAAAAACTACTTATTCCTGTGGATTTGCCTCGCTGTTTGGAATTAATGCGCCAATGTGGGGAGACTAAATCTCTTGAAGAGGCGAAAATTGTACACAGACATGCTTTACAACATCTGTCACCTCTGCAAGTCAGCACTTATAATAGAATATAAGAGATGTATTTTGAATGTGGTTCTGTAGATAATGCTCTCAACATTTTCAACACTATGCCTGAGCGCAATTTGACTACCTGGGATACTATGATAACACAGCTTGCAAAAAATGGGTTTGCAGAAGATTCAATTGATCTGTTTACTCAATTTAAAAACCTGGGACTTAAACCTGATGGGCAGATGTTCATTGCAGTTCTATCTGCATGTAGTGTGCTGGGAGATATTGATGAGGGAATGCTGCACTTTGAATCCATGATCAGAGATTATGGCATTATACCATCAATGGCTCATTTTGTCAGTGTAGTAGACATGATTGGCAGCATTGGGCATCTTGATGAAGCCTTTGAATTCATTGAGAAAATGACAATGGAGCCAAGTGCTGATATATGGGAGACTTTGATGAATCTGTGTAGAGTTCATGGGAACTCTGGGCTGGGGGATCGCTGTGCTGAGCTACTTGAGCAGCTAGATTCATCTCGATTAAGTGAACAATCAAAGGCTGGCCTTGTACCTGTTAAAGCCTCAGACTTGTCAAAAGAGAAAGAAAAAAAGTTAGCAAGCAAAAATCTTCTTGAAGTAAGGAGTCGTGTTCATGAATATCGAGCAGGAGATACATCTCATCCTGAAAATGATAAGATATATGCTTTGTTGAGAGGTCTAAGGTCACAAATGAAAGAAGCTGGCTATATTGCGGAAACAAAATTTGTGTTGCATGACATAGACCAGGAAGGCAAAGAAGAAGCTCTTCTTGCCCACAGTGAGAGACTTGCTGTTGCTTATGGTCTCCTTAGCAGCTCCGCTCGCTCTCCCATCAGAGTTATTAAGAACCTCCGTGTTTGTGGTGATTGCCACACAGCACTAAAGATTATCTCTAAGCTTGTAGGTAGAGAACTCATTATTCGAGATGCAAAAAGGTTCCACCATTTTAAAGACGGGCTATGCTCCTGCCGTGATTATTGGTGAACATGAACTTAGGTACTGCTTGCCTCTTATTAATGGTTTTCCTTTGTTATTTACTGGTTGATAATAAACTGAAATGACTGCATTTTGGGTAAGCATATTTGTATAAGTATACTTAACCTCAACTTACATAAAATCTATCCGTGGCACATACCCCCATGGTTATTCAATGTATTGTGTGCTTGGTTTCTAAAGTATGTATTATATCCAACCACGGTCTGAAATTTGCCCGTAAAACTCCAGCCTAGAGGTAGTTTAATGCTGCTATACCTTTTCTAAGCCGACTAACGATTATAAAACTCTATGCTATGGTAAAACCAGGGAGTTATGAGAGGTACATCTCCAATTGATATTGTGAATATATCCTTATTCTAATGTTGCTTTCGAAAGTAGATCAAAATTAGATTTTAATTTTCACTTCCAGGAGTTGCAATTGCAATTTATATTTGGGTTTACAATGAAATGAAAAATGGAGCTGTGGGCCATGTTAAGTAACTTAAATGTAAAAGTATTGACTCTTAATTGTTGATCCTTCCCTTTTTTCTTAAGTACAGGCAACATTATGAGAGAGAAGTATACTAATAGTTTCTATATAAAACTGGTGGACTGTTGCATGGGTGATGTTGCGTTCGTTCACCCTGGAATTTCTGTCTTTGATGTAACTGCGTCTTACAGAGAATGAAAGAAATTAAATCCATGAATCCCATGCGCAAAACACTTGTCAAAGGGATTGTTCATTTTGCCATTGGACATGGAATAATCATTCAGCCTTGTCTCGAACATCATTTGAATCCCGGGAAAATGCTTGACTACGTGTTGTTTTTCGTTAACCTGTAGTGGATCAAACTTGTCTGTCTATTTTTTATGTAATATAAGGACTTGTTCCAGGGCATTGATAGCTGTTTGCAAGATTTGTGGCTTTGAGCATTTGTTTGTCATTTTAGAATATCAGTATGATGATTATGTGGATTACAATGATGTTTTCTTAACCGTACATCATATTTGACGGATGATATTTTCGTCAACCGTGTTATGAAGCAAAATTTGGGAAAGCCTCACAAGAATATTTTATGCAGGTGTATCTTGGCTACCAAATGGATTCAATAGCATGGGCGTTGCTAAACCCCTCTTGACCGGTCATAAAGATATTGTTCAAATCCACGAAGAGATTGGAATTTTGTTTAACCAGGCTCTTCCATACTAATAAATCAAGCAGTGGGACATGTATTCAGGATGCGGAGGCATTATTCTTTCTGGGTAGTCTTATGCTATATAAATTATTATTGCTCTTGAGGCAAGGAAAAGTTTATGTATTTGATAGGAAACATTGATGTTCAACAGTATACTTTCAGACAACTTTATTGACTGTCAATATCTCAAAATTCAAATCATCGGAGTCATTATTCTAAACTTGTTTAGCCTCTTCTGTGTGAAAGTTATCGGTGGTATGTATAAATTGACATTTCCTGCTACAGAAGGCCTTGTTGGAGCGTTTAGGATTCTTTTGCAAAGTAGCCAATCATGGAGAGAATAATGAGGTCTCTCTGGTGACAAGTTAATGTTAGTTGAATAGGTAGTGGATAAAATGTACTTTAGTAGGTACATTGACACAACCACGTGAGATTGTTGTTCCAGCAACATACAAACTCGCTTTAGGCATGGAAGCTGGTCCAGGGAAATTATTTTAGGTCCAATGGAAGGCTTTCAAGGGAGAGGGAAGAAGGAATAAGATGGAAAAATAGTGAAGAACATAGCAAGTGATGTGGCAGAACTCCTTTTTGGTAATGTGGGTTCATCAAGAACCTTTGATATATTTTCTTTTTCTCTAGTAATATACTATACTTTCATGTGTTTTTCTTCTCTCCTTCGTCACTTGTTTTTCACAAGTAAGCAACTTTTTTGAGCTTTTGGGCAAGAATTGGTTCTCCAAAGTGGCGCTCATCTAATCTATAATTTATTGTAACTTTTTTAAATAAAAATTTCATAACTCAGAAGCTGATTATTTGATTTGTTGGAATTTTGTTAACTTTTCTAAATATCTTTATGTATTTGAAGATATCTGATTGAACTTTACCAATAAAATTGGCTTTTTTTCATCACTCATGTGCTCATTCAAAAGTAAATCTATCTAATTCATCCGCATTCAAAATATAAAAGTATACATATTTGAATTTATCTATTTAATTTTAGAGTTAATAATTTATCAATTGTTTCTAAGAATTCAATAAATGATTTTTCAAGACTTAATGGATTAACATTGTTCCAACTAAATTTTTCTTGATTAAATCTGACTAAAAATTTATCCTTTTGAAAACTTTCTTAAGATTGTCTCAACTTTTTTGGAATTTAAAAAAAATATATATTTTTGAAAAGAAAAATGGATGAACTTCTACAATAAAATTTGTTAATAGACGAATTGGATTTTATTGAATAGATTAAATCGGATCCATCTTTTTTATTGAAATTTTGAATAGATCCATATCAGTTAATATATCTTTTATTCAACTCATTATAATTCAAAATAAAATTGATTGAGTCTCTTGAGCTGTCATGCCTAATTTTTATCTCCTTCTACTTTAATTCCATATTAATAAATGAAATATAATTATTAAAAGTTTGGCTTTGAAAACCTTAATTCATGCTACACCACTATTAAATGCAATTAACATTGTTATTACATTATAAGAAATTTTATAATTATCAATAAAATTTTACCGACAAAAATAAATTCGACGATAATATTAGATCTGATTGATTAAATCTCTTTAAAATGCATTGGTAATGTTTTTTTTTTCAAAATTTGTTGATACCCATCCGTTGAATTTTTTAAAAATCTAGAATTTTTATTATTGACATATATCTTTTTCATTAGTAAATCTATCGATAAAATAAGAACCAATTTTTTCGTAAAATATGACAAATTTTATAAATTAAGTGGAGATGAATGAAAGAAATAATAGAAGAAGAAGAAGGGAGGAGGAGAATTTAAAGGTTCTACTAGTGGTAGAAGACAAGGGTAAAGGGGTGGGGAATGGTGTACATGAGAAATAACGACAAATGTCACGTCAATACTAATAGAGGTGGTGAGGAGTAGAAACTCTATACAACGGCAACTACGTGGAGGATGAGAAGTGAAGGAAGAAAAAAAAAACAAAAAAAAACATAAGGAGACGGAATAGGAAGATAGATTTAATAATGATAACAGTATATTTGACCAACGCTCAAAATTTATCGATAATCACTGATGAATATTATCAATAAAATTTAACTAACAAACATTTTGTACCAATAGATAAATATTTATCTAAAAGCTTGTAGTTATCAATTCATTGATTAAATTTTTTTATAAATATTTTTTCAATAATTTTTTATTATTATAATCTACTGTCAATAAATTTAATCAATAAATTTTTATCTATTGTCAATCAATTTTATTTATCTATAATTAATGTTTTTTTAATGGCAAGAACTGATAACTAATTCAAAATAGTGATAGATAAAAAGTATATAGTTACTTGTAAAGGTTTCATCATGCATAATGTATTTTTCTTTAATGTTGAAAACTAACCAACAAAATTTATTTTATATAATTTGATTAAATTAAATCAGCATAGGTTTTTTTTTTTTAATTATACGCAATAGTTTTTTTTTCTTAAAATGCATATAGGATTAAATTTCCAATACTTTTTTTGGAACTGCTACTGAAATTCTTTTTCACTTATTAGTAAATGGAAGAATTTTACGCAATTTTTTTAAATATAAAAAAAAACAACACTAATAATGTTTGAATGTGATGATAGAAAGTGAATAAATGGACAAGAAAAAAAAATAATAATTAATTTTTTTTATTAAGTAAACAATTGTAAGATAAGGTAAAAAAGAATGAGTGAAAAAGTCATGGATGTGATTGATCTTTATAAATTGATAAATGATAATAATTTTTTTTACAATGTTCATGTTTTCCTCGTTACAATATGTAAAAGCAAAGAGGTTTAAAGAAGTTTGGATACAATATGTAAAAGCAAAGAGGTTTAAAGAAGTTTGGAGCAGACATGTATAAGCAAAGGATATGACCGAGCAGTTTAGATTAAAATAAGAGTAGTATATAAATGAAAGTTTCAAAAGTCTCGTCCCATTATTTGAATACAACTATATCTCTCCAAATTCTTTTACTATTTTCTTTTCTCCTCCTCTCTAGATTCCTTCAATCTCACTTCATTTGTTCAACAATCAGACTAAACCAAAGCAATCTTGGTGTCGAGAGCTTTCTATTCCACCGATCGTTTTAGTGTTTAAAGTTGGTAAGTTTCGTTCCTTTAATTCTTGTGAATTTTTTGAATTTCTAGCACATGCAAGTAAGCCTTGTTGTTTGCATGTGTTCATCAGTCTTCTCTTTCCCTTTCTAACTTCATTTTTGGTAATTTGGTTGGTCTCTTCTCACAAATCAGTAAACTATAGGTGTTCTTAGGATTTTCTGGAGGTGTGAGCAAATTTCTAGAAGGGTAGAAGCCCTTCGGTTCGGTTAAGAGGTAAGGGAAGCTAGTTAATTTAATTGATTGGTTGATGATGTATGAAAATGTTGTTTGATGGTTTTGCATGTGTGAAATTGAATGTTTGTGTGTTCGACATTGTTTGTGTGGGATGTTAAATGCTGTGGTCATTGAGTTGTAGATTTTGGAGTGAATTCTGGTTTGGGATTCTTTGAAATGATGTTAGAAAGATTTAGGTACCATTGGATAGGTGTAAATGGGTATATGATTCAGGTTTGGAGGATTAGAAGTTGGAAAAAATGTTAGTTTGGATAAAGTCTAGCGTGTTCATTATTCTGCAGAAGTTATGCAGAATTATGCAGAAAGTTGAGCATGCGCTGTTGACCGCTCGGTCATATTCAAGTGTTCGGTCATTAACTGGATGCAGTTTCTTTAGAGTCTTCCCAGTTCATGACCGTTCGGTCTTAGTAGTGCTCGGTTTTGTACTAGCATTCGGTCTTAGTAGTGCTCGGTTTTGTACTAACATTCGTCTTAGTAGTGCTCGGTTTTGTACTAGCACTCGGTCTTGTATTATCATTCGATTGAATATAGCGTTCGGTCTAGTTATAGTTTTCGGTCTTGACCTAGTGTTCGACCTAGATAAAGTATCTGGTATAGTCTAAGTTCTCGGTCTCACACTAATACTCTGTTTGTATTGGTGTTCGGTCTTAACTATATTCAGCCTCTTATGGACCTTATCTGTTAATGATCTTTCGGTCATGTTTTAGTGTTTGGTCTAAGCTCTAAAGTGTTCGGTCTAAGTTATAGGTGTTCGGTTTAGCCCTAGTGATTTGGTTATTATAGTGTTCGGTCTCATAGTAGTATTCGGTCTTACATTAATGTTTAACTGTATTCGACCTTACGTTAGATTTAGATCCTTAATAGTGTTCAACCACTTCTTCAGCCTTACCTATTATAGACCGTTCGGTCCTATTCTTTGGGGTAGTGAGAAACCGTTCGGTCTCCAACGTACGCAACGTGTTCGGTCTTGCATGCGGTTTCCATTGTTGTTTGATAACTTGTTTAAATTCAGTTATATGAACATGCTATGTATGAATAATGAAGTGGATGTTTTTATAAAGGATTATGTTTCAACTGGTATGAAAGAGAATTCCAAGAAGGAATGTCTCAGTGATAGGTTATCAAAGTGGTGGTAAAGTATGAATGTGGACAGCGAAATCCACGACGTTGTTGGTCGATTTCGGCAAGCGTACCGAATCGTTCAAGTAATAAACCGGTAAGACCAGGTATCATTTTCCCAAGAGACTCGTAATACTAGAGAATTGTGCGATTAACAACTCATATAGACTCAAGAACATAACATCAATTTACAAACAAGTGCAAAAAGATAAATTCACAAGTAATTACAAGGTTGGACTTTGGTATTGAAGGCACTTGGAAATGGAAAAGACTAGAAATGGTATGAAATGACATTGTTAAGGTTAGTTTTCACCAATGCACTCTTGTGTATAACTAATTTCATCTCCTCTCTATCAATTTACTAAAGTCAATCCACTAAAACACTCTAGCCCTAATCCCTTAGGTGAAAGAGCCTAGGTTTTCCTTATCAAACTCCAATCTCTTGGACAATCTAACAAGCAAACCCGCATTAAGAGCTAGGATCTAAGACAACATGTGAATCATCTTCCATCCCTAGAATCAATGACCACAAGGACTCTTATTTCAGTTCAAGATTTCATCTTACGTCCCCATAATCCATGAAACCCCAAAATCAAGTCATGAACGTCCCCATTACATGCAAGCTTTAAGATCGCAAACAAGAATACTAGCAATTGATAGAAAAGGCATATATATAATCAAATCATTCAACAATTACACAAGAATTCAAAGGCTACAACTAATCCCAACAAGATGGGTTTG